GAGGAGCCATCGCCATAATTGCTGCCAAAAACCCGATCCCCACTGCCGCCGTGAGGAGGGCCGCGGCTGCCACCGCCGCCGTGCTGGTTGCCGCTGAAACCGCCGGCGTCCCGACCTGCCAGCAATGCCGTGGTGCTGGTCCCGCCCAGTGGAGTCCTCTGCCGATCGAGAAGGAGAAGAGCCGACCGGACTTGGAGAAAACTAGACAAAGGATCCTGAAATTAGAGAAACGAGGTTTGGGCTTGTAGATCGTCGGGGAGGCCGCGCAACATCTGGAGTATTAGTTGGTGCTCAGACACGGGGGCATCAACGTCATCTAACCAATCCTCAATATTCCTGAGCTCTTGACAATATGCAGCCATGGGGGTAGATCCTTTGACAGTGGTGCGAAAATGATGCTCAAGTTGCATGGCTCGAGCATGCTTATTGTCGTGAAACAAATCATGAAGCAGCTTCCAGAGGGCAGATGCAATAGAGACAGAAGAGAGAACGAGATCAGACACCTCATCTGTGATGGTGGAGAGAATCCATCCCTGGAGAATAGCATCAAGTTGGAACAATTCGTCGTCGTCGTCGGTGGGAGCAATAGAGCCGTTGAGATAGCCATGGAGATTGAACCGCCGTGCGAGAAGGAGGAACAAGTGGCTCCACTTTTTATAGTTTGGTTGAGAAAAACTGAGTTGAATGGGAACATGAAGTTTGACATTTGAGACGGAGAAAGCGAGATGTGGAGATTTTGGGCTGGAGGATTGAGATGTGACCTCATTGTCGGTCATTGTAGAGGAGGAGCTGCCGACCGAGAGAAGGAGGAGGAGGGGCGGCGGCGCTGCTGTTCGGCGAAGGGAGGAGGAGGCCGAAACTAAGGGGAGAAAATTTTAGGGTTTTTGGTGTGGCTCTGATACCATGAAGAATTGTATTTTCCTTGATTAATTATGTGAGGAGTACATGTATATATATACAACATCTCAATCCTAGTTATGGTAGGAGAGGTATTCTAGGAAAGCTATACAAGTATGGAAACATATCATAATACAATAATATTAAATATATTTAATATATTTAACAATATTGTTACTTGTTGTTGGTTTAGAAATATTGTTCTTCCTTAAGAACATATTGTTCCTTTGTGGCATATTGTTAGTAGTTCCTTTTAAAGGAAACTCTTGCAAAAGGTTTTTTGAAAAATTGCCTTTTGGACTATCCTTCAAACTCCTGGCATCGATTAGGGGGGAAGGTCATCGGTTGATAATGCCAAAAGGGCGAAGGAAGGATAGTTGAGAAAACCTGCTTTTCAAAACATTTTTCCGCTTGTTACTCCAAAATTTTTTACTGCACTTTTCTAACCTTACAGGGGGAATTAAATTAAGGGAAGTATTTCTTCAACTCATACTTTGTTATTTCTCAACTATGTTTGTCATTATAAAAAAGGGGGTAATTGTTAGACATGAGTTCAAACCCCTTTTATATATTCTGGAATTCTTTTTTGTTTTGATAAATGACAAACAGGATGATTAAAATCAACGATGATCTGAAATTTCATATTCGTATCGAGAAAAGCAAAGAGACGTATCAAGAAATTTACGACGATAAAATTCAACGCTAGCCCCTACGCAGAGTTTTTTGAAGTAAAGTGAAGATTCAGAAGACTTATTTTTTTATTGAGTCTAGGAATTTTTTTGTAAGGATGAAAGTCATTTTTGCATAAACAAATTAATTTTTGAGGGATAAATTATTATTTTCTGAGTCAGTTGAAAAATTAGTTTTTCTCTGTCCAAAAATAATTTACTAGGTCAGTTACATAATAGTGTGTCAAAATTTCTTTGAATACTTTTTAAAGATACACAAATTTTTTGTAGTAAGAAAAATATACTTTAAATATTTTTTGTGTAAATCGTTTGACTCACAAAATATTTTTAGGGCTCAATTTCTACACCATAAATCATTTCTTAATTCAAATTTTTGAATTTGAATTAATTCAATTAACAACCTTTTGATTTGTTTGATTATGGGAGCCTCTTCATCCCTGAAATCTTGTCCAAAACAAACCACAAACTCTTATTTTGTACATTCAACTCGCACACATGTTTTGGGCCCTCCATGTTTGAAGTTTGTTCTTCAGGGGATTGATCCACTGCTTGGATCGGTCCAGTGTGCAGAGCTCCGATCAGGTGATCGATCCATAGCATTGGATCGATCCAAATTAATTATTGATTTTCTTCGGAGGATCGATCCAGGGGGTTGGATCGATCCCCCGTGGTTTTGACCAAAATACTTTACCCTTTTTTTCTTCTTGGTGATCAATCATATGCCTTGGATCAATCACTTGTGGTAAAATCAATCAAAATCATTTCATCCCTACCTCCAACGGATTTATTTCATTAAACCCTATAAAATTCCTCATCCTCCTTCATCAAAGACACATCTCTTGCACTCCATTCCTTCCTTATCGAATATTCAACTCTTTCTTCAATCATCTTGATCAAAATATTATTTTGAGAGTTAGAAGTATTTTTGTTGAGTGCTAACGATATTGTCATCCATAGAGCTTTCATATTTAAACACTAGCTCAATTGTGTGAACTTTCATTCTTGTATTGTAAAACTCAATCTTGTTTGAGTTGTTGCTAAGACTTGTGTGATTCAAGTCTTGTTGGTTGTTGTTGAGACTTGTGTGACTCAAGTCTTTTTGTAAGAAGTTGAGGCTTGTGTTATTCAAGTTTTCGAGTTGTATCGGTTTTTCAAGCACCCATTAAGCTTGAAGATTAGTAGGACATTTGAGAGAGTCTCTCGGAGGACTGGACTAGCCACGAGGTGGTGAACCGGTATAAATCATGGTGTACTTTTTCCCTTGCTCTTTACGTTATTCCTGCGATTTTTATTCCATTATCACTCATGCGTAAAACACACATTATAGTAAACAACTCTATTCACCCCCCCTCCAGAGTTGTACTTTTGTCTAACATTCTTTCCTCCGTGAGAAGTCTTGGAGTGCGGTATCTCCGAGCAAAACGCATTGAGGCTCGTGTGACTCGAGTTCTCACGTTGTATCGGTTTGTTAAGCACCTTTAAGCTTAACGGAGTTGGTGTAACTCGAGAGAGTCTCTCGGGAGGCTGGACGTAGTCACACGTTGTGGTGAACCAGGGTAAAATGCGGTGTGCTCCTTCCTTATGCTCTTTACTTTACCTTCCTCTTTTTTGAAATTTCTGCGATTTTGGTTTAAACGTTATTCACCTTCCCTCTAGCGTTGGGCCTTTATTCTAACACGAGTACGACTGCTTCATCCATTATCTAGACAATTGTGCCTCCAGTCACTGAGAACAAATTTGGTGGAGGAAAATGAGCTTCAATGAGACGTTTTACATCGCTCAACATGTTTATTCTGAAAGATTGTAACTCCACAGGATTCTGACTCAGCATAATTGGGGGACCACGAACTAAATTTTGAAGTGAGCAACATATTTCTATACCAAATGCGCATAAGTCAGAATCATAATTTTTCTCATCTGCAATATGACGAAACAACCACATTGTCTCCATTACTTCATCAACATGATCATAAACTACGCAAACTCCTTCGTCTAGATCAACTTCCCCATATAGAACATTTTTCAGCAAATCAATAATTTTGTCCAATGCATAAGTACTCATAATCGAAACTTCTAACTGCTTGAATCGGGGCTCCATTCGGAATGAAAAATCTTACTGCATTTTAGCTAATGATGGAGTAAAATATTAAAGCTTGAAATTGTGCACAAATCTCTCACTAATTTGTGTACTCAGTTGGGAATCCTAGTTTCAGTATAGGCAAATAATGCTTCGGTGTTGGGATCAGGATTCGTCCACGATATGACACTTTCAAATTTGCCATACACAAATTACTCCTAAAATTACTTAGTAATTTGCCGCAAATACACCCCTTATGGCTTATCCGTATATTGCATCTGAAATAATTTGTAGAAAAAAATTAAAAATTGAATACACCTTTTCTTTCTTCAAATTTAGAGCGCCGCAAAATCTAGATCGTGGCTTCTCTATCAATTTCTTTTTCAGCAATTCTTCTCTTGTGGTGATTCGATTCCACCTTTTTTGTATTGTTCAAATCAAATCAAATTTTCTTCTAAATAAATTGAAATAGCAATCAATCAGATACTCCCAAAGATTAACAATGAGTTTGTCGCACCACTAAAATAGTAGCATGGAACTCTTGTTTGTAGATAAGGGGGCGGCAACTAGAAAGGTTGAAGGTGGAATTTTGGTGATCGGTGGCTGCAACCATTTTGGTGGATTGACTGTGATCTGATCGGAAAAAATGTCTTTTTTTTGTTTTTTATGTTCAAATCAATGAAAGCACCAATTGATACGAATCGTATTGGGATAGGGAAGAACTTCGAGCATATTCAAGCTCTAAGAGAGGGGAGGCAAAGAGAGAAGGAAAACTTTGAGTGTTTCCGGACTCCAAAGAAAAGAGAGAGATTTAGGATTTTGATATTTCTAATTGATTAAATAATAATGAAAAAGGATTACAATATATAGAGAGTAAAAGTAACATCGCTTGACCTAATGAGCTCGGACTCTAATAAACCTTAAACTGGATTAACTATAAGATGTTAATAAAGAACACTAAATTATTAATAATATAACTAATCTATTATCATATATGTTTACTTTTATTATATCGCAATTTGAAAATATTTAACATGTTTAAGATTACACATAAATATGATACTTCTACTCTAAGTACATCTTCACCCTCTTCTTGGAGCGATGGAGATTTTTATGTATATGAGATGATTGAAGAACCATGTGTCATGTACAACAGATGGACTTTGTCCATATTAAAGGGTGTTGGCATTTTTTGGAAGTGGTTTGACTCCTAGACAAATATGCTTGCATAGATGTTCAAAATCCAAAGTGAAGCATAATTCTATCATTTCAAGTTCTTCCATCTCAAATCCCGTCTTTAAGAGTTCAACAATTTTTTCCCCTATATCTTTTAAAGATCTAATGATGTTTATATGTCGACGTAAATTTCTCTAATTATGAATTTTTAGGGTGATCTTTTAGCGAAAAACACATAGCTTGATTTGAGATTTTTATATACTTTTTGAGTAAATTCTATAATTGGTGATTTATAAAAGGGGGTCTTTCATGTTTAGTCTTCTATTATGAAATGTTACACTCGTGGTTATTCTTTTATGAGTATCTTTCTACAGATAGTCTTTTTTTGACCTTCTGTCATGTTGGTATTAATTTGAGGCTAAAAGTGTAATTTCACAATTATCATATATCTTTCTTGGCATACCTAATCTTTCTTGTATTGTAGATTTTGATAATGACAAAAAGGTGACAAAATACCAACATCATGTTTGAGCATCAAGGGTAAGATTCAAGAGTTTCAAAAAGTTCATATTTGTATGTGAATCAGGGACTTGAGCGTCTTTTGAAGGATCGAGAACAAAGACTCTCTTATCTTGGTTGGGTAGTCTTTTAGGTGTTAGAATGTTTGTTAAAGAGTATGACATCTCTAAGGTTCGTTCCTAGATAATCCTACCTTTAAAATACCTTTTAGATCATCCTTTATGTGGAGAAGTTGTTCTTCTATCCCAAAAAACCTTTGATTTATTAAAATAATTTGTGATTTTTTCCCTGAATAAAAATGTACTGATCTAGTTGAGTGAATGTCCATTAATTCAAATAAATCAGGTAGTTTTTAGTCCAGGAAATATCACTAGACTGGTTTATTCAAATAAATGAAAACTTATTCAAATAGTACGATAGTTTCAACCTCCAAGCGACTAGTTTTTTCAAACCATTTGATCAATAACCTCTCCCTAACTTCTCTTAACCTCCCCCATTCGTGTTTATAATTGAAAAATCACCAGGAACACATTCGTTAACATATCCTTTGATTATCCAAAGAGATTCCACTCAATCCCCTTCTAATATCCAAGCAAGGGAATGTTTTGATTGCTAAATCTTTTCTTGCTTGAGTTTACCCTCATTACTGAGTCCTTGAGAGATTTAAAGAATTATTTGGTTTTAATTTGTTTTCTTACTTTGTGTAAGGGAATTGTAACACTTGACGAAGGGATTACGTAAAAATCATATTGGTTTGTAAAATCAAATGCTAGATGGAAGAAACCCTAAGTTTTGTGAAATCAAGGCCTCGGTGGTCGGATAAGAGGCTTGTGAAATCAAGTTCTTGAGTTATATTTGGATTGTCAAACTCTATTAAGTTTGACGGGTTGATAGTGAAGGCTCGGACACGTTTGCTTCGGGGACTGAATGTAGTTATTAGGCCGAACCAGTATACATCGTTGTGTTCCTTGTTATTTTCTCACACTTTCTTTTGTTTGTGGTGCGTTGGTTTTGATCAAGATTTTATCAAGGATGCTTTTACAAAAAATCACACATTTTGGGAAACACCTCTATTCACACCCTCTAGAGGCGTGCATGGTGTCTAACAAGAGGTCGTTGCTGATGTATCATTTGTTAACTGAAGTCGTTGTCTACTAGAACCATAGTTTACATTATTATTGTGTTTTCCATCAAGCAGACATCAAAATATGTCACTCGACACAGAGTTGATGTGAAATTATGATATTAGCCCTCAAATAAACACCAACATAACAAAAGGTCAAAAAAAGACTATCTGTGGAAAGTTACCCATAAAAGAAGGACCACCATCGAAATATTTGATAATAGAGGATTAAATATGGAAAATCTCATGTTATGAAGAACCAATTATAGAATTTACTCTTTTTTCAAGATACTCACCGGGTGTACCACATACAACCAAATTACTTAAGACCATACAACGATCTCTTTAGTATTATAACACATACATCTCAAAGTTTAATGCTCTCAGAATTCGTACAAGTATCATTTTTAAGTGTCCCTTATAAATTTGTTGTGACGACATCCATTTCACATTTGAAGTTCTTTTTTTGATTGTGGCGCCAATGAAAGTTCTAACGATTATCACATTCCTTACAGTAAAAAATGTTTCTTGATAACCAACTCTTGGAACTTGGAAAAACCAAATCATGCTATATATCGCACAATTTGTTAAGGCAATTTGTGCGATAACTAATGCGTTAACAACTTTGGATGTACGCGCAGTCTGACCCTTATGTTTAAAACATAGAGAAACTGTTTCCAATTGACCCATGATGAACGTCGAAAGTTGCATTGACTAACTGCTAATTCACAATTGCAAGAAACGCAAATAGTTTAAAGAGCCAATTTGCTTTATTCCATCATACCCCAAAACCAAAAAATAAAGAAGCTTTGGCTCCACTGGGGAATGTAAATAAAATGACTGTTAAAAGATAATATTAAAAATTGAAGGTGAAAGAAGAAGGCATTTCCCTGGAAGGGGAAGGAAAAACTGAAGATGACATGATGCTGAGTTGGTGAAGGGGGAAAAAATAAGGGCGCACCTGATGGCCTAACCCAAAGGGGCGGATATGAGTATGAATGCTTGTTGGATACATAAACTCTACTTCATCAGTAGTATTCATGACCATGGCGTAATCAAACGTAGAGTAATTAATGATTAGTGTTCGTTCAGTTTGATTTAAAAGAATTAATCTGAACAAATACACTGAGACGGAGGGAGTGATTTGGTATTTGGAATAAATAGATATTTCTTTGTTCTAAAATTTTTAAATTTTTGTACGGCTATAAGCTCCACTTAAAATAAAATGGGTTTGGATTAGGCCATGTCCTCGTATTTATTATTTCGACAAAGCTTGTTTCATCAAACCATGCTATAAGATTCCAATTTCGACCTCAATTCTAAGGGTAAATCTCAATAGGGTAATGCTATGTTCACAAACTAAACTTACACAAAACTCACAATCTTTGTCACATCATCATATCATTTAATAAAAATAAAATAAAATAAAATAACAAATCCCAACAAAATAATTAACGGAGTAATACGGTTCATTGCCGTTAACTGCAAGAATATTAACCTTGGGAGCTATTCTCGTTCTGCTCCATCTCGATCCCTTCTCCTCTTTCTGTTTTTTTTCTTTCTTCCACGGTTCTTCTTCTTCGGATCTCACTTATCTAGGACGCACATCTGCATCTCCCATTGCCGATCTTCATCTCAGGTACGGTGTTTTACTTTTTTTTGCTAATTATTGAAAGTAGGTATTTTTTCCTTTTTCCCCAGTTTTTCTCCTTTTTTTCAGTTTTCTTTTTGCCGTTTATTTTTTGCAATTTTTTTCTGTATTTTTGTTTTTGTTATTTGTGGTTTTTTATATGTATATTTGTTTTTTTTTTTTGCTGTTTGTGGAAATAGATTTGAAATTGACCAATACAAATACCCACGAAGCCGCTGGTGACTAGGTAATTTCAATTCACTGACGGGGCATGTTGAATTCCCATGTTTTTTGTGTAACTGGCTGTGCAATAACATTTAATAATCCAATTGGTTGGTATGCTTTGTTGGGTTTGCAATGCGGATTTGAGAAATCAAATAAGATTGATATTTTTATTTCTTTTTACTGCATTCTTTTATGTTTGGCATTGCTACAACTGACGATAATACCCTAGCCTTATTAGTTTATTTGACGGTGTTTGATGATTGAGTGTGAAGTGGAAGGAACTACAAGTTTTGAGGGTGGATTATGATATTTGGAGAAGTCCGGGGTGCACTTTACCTTTTTTCTACTTTTCGAGGGTGCATTTTGCTTTTTACCCCAATTCTAACACCATCTTATTTGAGGCATGATTCGTTTACAAATGCGGCACATTCGAGAAACAAGTATGGCATTGAAATTATGGAATCTCACAAGCAGATAAACTCATAATTGGAAGTGATTTTAACAAACACATAGCGGGCACTAGGGAGGGGTATGAGGAGACGCACTAAGGGTTTGGGGCTTTCTTTATGCCTCTATTAATAAGCTAGAAATCTCTTGGAAACAAGCTCTATATTTTTGAGTAGAGATAAGGTAAACACCATTTCCAAACTTATTGTGAGATTTGTTTTAAATATGTCTGTTGTAGTACGCTAGTGAATAGACATGTTTTCATTAAGTTTTACTCGTTAGAACGAAAATAATGGTTTCAATAACGTAAAGGTTGGTGACAACTAAACCAAAATGCTCTAAGTGACAACTACACCCAAAGGCTTGATGACTTGTTATGGCGTAATGAACTTCAGACAAAGCTTACCTTTCGTTAAGAATCGCGTGATGATGTAGAGGCAGAAGCATCAAACAATGAGAAATTGTCAAAAAAAGATTCTACAAATATGTGATCGGATGTATAAAGATGTACCATATAAGTTGCATTTATAATGGAGGAGCATGCGCTCACCATAAACGAAAACTGAACTGATCAAACACCGCACAGGTCAGGTTTGGGAGATACGTCATACATGCAACATAGGAGAAAAAAAGAATGAAGACTTTTACCGCCAAAATTGCATATAGATATTCCGCCAATTGGAATTTGTTTCCTCAATACATGTATGTCGTGGTCCGAAAGAAACTCTACGTTGATTGAATACATGATGAAACACAATCCAACTACGGAGATATATTATTGTTAGTATTATTATGATATACAAACGAGTTTTTTTTTTGGCAGAAAATTGTACCTCAACACCAGCTACCTATCATATCTCCTCCCATCCGTGATTGATTCCCCATCCTTTTGGGTGTACACTTATCTGATCTTTGAGTCATTTCCGGAAAGACGACAAGGAAAAAAAAGATCTTGGAGCTGTAGAATGAATGTGAATGTCAACACACGAATTGTTACGCTAAAAATGTGTCATGCTAAATAAAGTTCTAAGGTAATACATTTCCATGACTCATTATTTATCTATCCAAAGACCACAACCATTGTCATTTACACTGTTTGGTTCAAGGAATTTGAGAGGGAAAAGAAAATGATATGGAAAACAATTTTTTTGTTTGCTTAGAGAGGATAAGTAAAAAGAATAGAGGCCAGAGGGAAAAGAAATTTGAGAGGACAAAATCAACAAAAAGAGAGAAACAAATTTACTTCTAATTTAGTGAATGACACGGGGACAAAGTTGATGAATTACCTTTTAGTGATGAGCTCCCAGACAAATGGTCATCCCTAAGTTTGAAGTTAGCAGGAGGAGCCGGTATAGAGCCACGGATTGATTGAACTACAAAAATAGCAATATTTGCTTTAAGGCATTAATAAAAACTAATGAAACAGAAAAATGAATATAAAAGAAAACTGTTGGAAAACAGATTGGTAAAAACGAGAAGATATAAAGCCAGTAAAGCCAATGGCCGATGTATATGCTATACAATGGGTCTTGCCCCAGAAACTATAAATGAGACATAAGAGAATGTCGGCGACTCGGCGGGGATAGAGTTTTTAAGAGATGTATAATCATCTGCCCAGTTTCATTTACGTGAGAAACAGTAGAATGTTGTATCCACCAATGAAACCCATGAATAGTTGAAATTGTACGAATTCCATGAACCTTAAGAATTATAGGGGTAAATAAATGGCATAACTCACATTGCTCAGCAAATGATTCCTGTTCATTGAAGCTATTATCATCAGAAGGTTGCCCTTGCAAATGGCCCATTCTAGACTTCCTAATGTCATCCGAAGTCCGATTGGCAGGATCCCGTCCATCTTCGGGGTCATCGTCTCCTTCAGAAGTAGTGGCAGAAATCCAGTCAACCAAATTTTCTGCACCACGGTGTTTCCTTCCAAATTTCAGCAATCTCTTAAATCCTTTAGTCATGTCCTTGCGGGGCTGGTTATGTGAACCGGAAACAAGTACGGGCTTCTGTGCAGCTCCCCACGTTTTCCTCATCCTAGCTGCATATGCTTCTGTTTGTTTTAGTGAGTGGGAATTCCATGAAGGAGGGCTTCCCATTGGAGATGAGTCCACATAGGCTTCAACATCAGACATCTCGTTAGAATAGGAAAATTGATGGCGGACACAAGAGTTCCATGAAACAGGGCTTTGCCTATCTTGCAATTGTTCTGCTGAGTCCAGCGGTGGGTCAAAGTGAGAAAAAGACCTCAGGCGATTGCCATCATTCTCTGATCCAAAACCTGCAGACTTCCCTAATTCGTGGGTCAATATTGAATCCACATTGCCTAAGTTAGAGATATGCTCAGAATTCTCAAACATGCCATCTCTGTCTTTTACAAGGGCGATTGGGCTGTCTGATTCATGCACTGCTGCATCATTGTAATTTCCATCACTGTTCATGTTCTGAGATCCTATAAATCTCCTCTGCTTCTGAAAACCGACTCTAGCATTTTCACTTTTACCCTTGTGGAAAGCCACATTATTCCCTACTTTATCAATCATCTCATCGTTTTCAAAAGTCGAGCCATCTTCACAATCTATAACAGATGCCTCACCAAACGCCCCCTGATTTGAGGTGCTTTTTCTTAGGAATTGTGATCTGCAAGATAAATCCTCCTTAATGGGGGTCTCTTCACTAATATGTTTGTTGCGAGCATAGTTTTTTAGTTGAGATCGTGCTGTTTTACCAACAGTTGTGGAAGCCCTAGTCTCTTTTTTCAAATCTGAGAAGTTAGGGACAGACTGTGCAAGAGGATTTTCAATTTGGGATCTCCTCCGACCAGGATTGCTAGTAGTAGCTTTGGCAGCTGACCTAATAACAGGTGCTGCTGATGGGCGAGATGGAGAAGAGGATGGACCTGTAGCAGGCAGAAGCTTCTGAGTCTGATTGCTTCTAGAAACATCATCCTCAAAAAGTGCTTCTCTTCTCTCACTTGAATACCTTCGTTCACCATACCATTCCTGGTTGCAAATTTCGGTTACTTCATCTTCATGTTGATCAAAATCCAATTGTTGCTGTCAAAAAGAGCTTCATGGTTGGTGAAACATAGTTGATATAAAACAAAGGAACGAAATAAGACTAAACCACACAATATCTTGTTCCATTAAAAAAAATACATTTACAAGCATTTGTCAGAACTAATGATTTACCTTCTCTCTCCTCAAAATTGACCTGGTATCAAATGACTTTAGTCTATCTGCACGTCTATGTGCAGTAGGAAGAGAATCATCTTTATATGATGATCCTGAAAACTTTGCTTTCATATTATCTCTAGTTTTTTCCAGGCTTTCCTGCATAGCCTTTAGCTTGGCTTCCTTCTCATCTCGCTTAGAATTCCATTCTTCCCTTAGTTTTGCATCTCTTATCTGCATATATGTCACATAAAGTTTTCCACGAGAACCTTCTAAAGCACTGAACTCAGAGAAATTCTCGTTTAAAACATCTGTACACCCTTTATTGTCGCCCACTTCAGTGACACTATTATCACGATTAACCATGCAACTTGAAGAAGTCACAGTTGCATCAGTTACCATGTATTTGTCTGGCAACTGGACAGAAGCAGCAGTTCTTACATGAGTGGTATACAATGAACCTGCTTGTTCCTGGGCTGGCATTTCAGTAAGCCTGCTTTTACGGGTAGGATTTGAATGATCTCCAGGAGCACGCTGTTTATGTTCAGCAAAGAGTTTTTCAAGCTCATTTGCTTTGTTCTGCAACTCATCATTAAGTTCCTGGTTTCCTTTGGACTGTCGTATCTTTCGAACTTGCTGTACAGGGGTTGTAAAAAGTGACATAGATCCTTCCTCCTCTGCTACCACTCCAGCAGAGACAAACTGCTTGTGATTTAGAGGAACAGAAATCATTTCTTCTATGCAATCTTGTGATTTTTTTTTCACATCAACCCCTACAACTTGCTTCTTATTCATAATTGCAAATCCTGCTGAAATAACTTTTGATCCAGAACTAAGATTTTTATTTTCAGCCAAATCGACCTTTTCCTTCTCAGCTTCCTCAATTTCTACTGATGGCTGCAATCTGGATTCAGAATAGGAAGAACCTCCTTCAACCCCTTTGGCTTGAGGGGTCAAGAAAGCTCTTGAGATGGAACCACTTTCCAGAGACCCAAAGTCCACTTTAGTGTTTTGGGGAGCATTATATTGTGATTTAGACATCAATTGATCCCCCAATTGTGTGCCTTCCTCACCTCTGTGATGCACAATATGGTGGGTTGCATTATCTTTACTAGCCAAGCTGGCAGAAGTTTGATACTGTTCCAGAAAAGAGTTTCTGTTCAATGCAGTGATCGCAGACTCATGAACTGCTCTCTTGTTAGCCCCAATAGTTCCATCACTTCCCTGACAACCTGTGGAATTTCCTTGAATAGCTACACCAACTTTTCTGGTTTTGTCCCAAGGTAATGATCCAAACAGCCCTCGAGCTTCTGGTCTCTCTTTCAAACTTTTCCCTGTTCTAGTTGAATTCAAATGTGACTTGGTCTTCTCACTAGTTTTTTGACTACTATCTTTCTGCCCATTTTTCTCTACAGCAATTGAATAATTACACTTTGAGTAAATAGATTGAGAATCTTCTACCTTCTTGTACGGAGCACTTAACTGTTTTGATTCTTCCCTGGCATTAGAATCTTGAACAAACAACTTCAAGTCTTCATGTTCATTCATTCTGATATCACTAACTTGATCTGGCACACTTTGGAACTCCATGTCACCTAATTTTTGTTCCATATCAGTAAAACCTGATTTTGCTTGGTCCTCATGCTTGGACTTAGAAGCATAAGCAGAAGATGGGGTGAACAAAGGACTCTCAACATCCTTCATTTCAGTGCTCAAATCTATGCTCATGTCACTGGCACCACTCCATCTCCTTGAGATAGCCTTCTCCCCTACTATGGATGGTGCAACTGGCAACCTCCGAAGCTCCACAGATTTTCCCACGATTGGCTTCCCCCCACCCCCTGAATTCTCTTTCTGCTTGTTCTCAAACATGTTGATGCGGTCCTGCACACTTAGCCGTCTTATCTGCCTACTAGTAGGAGTCTGCTCAGTTTGATCAAAATCATTCTTTTCACTGCTCTTCTCTTCTGACTCAATGCTTGGCCCCCCACTGCTCTGTTGCTGATGAAAGCCAGCAGAAGAGGGTTTCAAGAGTTGATTAACAGAAGTACTGGACTGGTCAAGGAGAGGAGGGGGTTGCTGATGCATTGTACCCGAGTCTTGGCGGTTTGGTTGCATCATAGTGCATTGTTGTTCTGGAGTAGATGGGTCTTCATCTAGGGACATATCTGAGCCGTATGAGGATCTTACTGCATGTCCATCTGCTGCTCCACATGCCTTCCATTGGTTGATTAGGTTTGGCCTTTTCTTGCACAATGATATAAATTTGGAGCATGCTTCACTGAAACAATGAAAAAAATATGATCAGTTAGTGAAATTTTTATTTCATGAAGCTACAAAAATGAAAATGTAGGAAAATGTGAGTGGTCGAGGGCTTGCTCAGTTGGGGTAGTACAAAAATAAAAGATCTTTGGGAAAATGAAAAGGAAGGGACATTGTGTTTATGTTATTTTCATTCCCTAACTGATAAAGATAATGGAGATTGTGTTCAAGTCGTTTCCATTCTTCAAACTGAAAAAAAAAGTTTCCAAATTTCCAGGCCTGTAACCATTTTAGGATGTTCTCTGAATGGAGAAGCACATATGAGCACAGTGGTCATTCTTCATCTGTATTTCTCCATATTCCCTTTTTTAAATTTTCATTCCTTGTTCAATTCTCCAACCTCTATACCATTCCTACCAATGATAGAAAACCCAGTGTATTGCAATTCTCAAACCTGCAGTGAAGAAATTAGTAAAGCTGGAGCGTATGCTTAAGGAGAGGTGGGGGCTATTTAGCGAGTGATTGCATTTTAAGATGCCAGAAGAGACACTGAGGCACTACAAGAATGTGAGAGAGAAGCTGCTAGATAGTTCATTGGGGACATTTGTGATGAAATGGAAAGGGACATGGGTTTGGCTTGGGACCTCCAACACCACTTTGAAGGAGGCACGGGCTTATGGTAGGAGATTGTTTAAGGCGAGCGGGAGCAACGAACACAGAGAGTGGGCTGCAGATACTGGTCTTGAACTGCAGCCGGATAAGGGCAAGACAATCTCAGACCCCAGACAGACCCCGGATAAAGTTTTGGTGATTAAGGGGATGAACAGGGGAAGTGGTACAAAATATCAACCATTTTCACTTTTTGTTTTTTAATTCTAAAAAAGGCCTGCACTCCAGGTTTCTGTTTTGAATTTGGAACAAAATGTAAAATACTTTCCAATACTAAACAGGTCTTGTCCATCTACAGAAAATGTTTTCCATTACACCATTGCTAAACAAGTCTTGATAGTTTATGTTAGAGTTTTATTATTACTCGTATTGTTTAGAAAGGCTCAATGGCCGGCCATCTGGAAAACCCTACAGAAAAAGATCTTAAGGAAATTCAAATGTTAACAAAAAAGTAGGCAGTAGCTGAAACAAAAATCTATCAAGTTCANGTTTATTCTTCACAGGATTTTCTTCCCTATAATTTGTTAGTGTATAGAATACTAATGTAAGCAACAGGTTAGCACTGGTGAATCGCATAATGGCTTTGTTTTAGATTTTATCTGAGCTCCTCCAAGACTCACATACTGTACCTTTTCTAGATTTTGGAACCACCTATTGTACCTAATCTAGAATTTGGAACTACCCATTATGCCTTTTTAGGAACTTCATAAGTTTGAAATGCTGGCACAATCTCATCAGAATGAACTTCCTCAGGAACTACGCACCAAATCAGTGTGGAAACTGGCTGGTATCGGAAAGAGGGAAGGAGCTACAGGTTCTCACTTTAATCGGTGTGCACCAAATTGATCGGAAAACATTTGAAGTTTTGCAACTGTGTCTAGATTGAAACCGGCAGCTGTTGCACGAGAACAAGCTATCATTAAGTCCTGTTGAACTGTAGCAAGCCTCACATCAATGGCTCGCAATAGCTCCTTCCTGTATGAAAAGATTATAGTAAATGTCATAAGTTGATGAACTCAGTCATACTAGGAACTTCTATTTGATCCTAATGAGTCCTAGTTTAGGTTCTTATAGATATGCACAATGCACTTTCCGCAGATAGTCCCATTATCGTTATGCTGACTTAAATACATGGATAAGTGATTTGTTGATGTTATTTGCACTTAGTATTATCCTGCTAGAAGTCTTAAACTATATATTCATCTTGTTGCAAACATTCACCCAGCAATAAAAAAGTGCTACGAATATCAGACCATGAGATAGCACATATTTAAAAGCATATGCATTTATAAAATGCACTAAGTAACTCGTAATAAAAATACTTTCACTTCTGGATATATGCATAACCAGTATGATAATTATAACATAAGGAGCAACTAGGCAATGCATGAAGAAGCAGAGATTGAGAAGTTACTTTGTTGCATCGGTTGCTACTGTGTCTGAGGACAAACCATCATCTGGAAAAAAATTGAAGTTTTAGTTACAATAAAGTTGCACTGAACCAAATTTGCAGAGTTAGGGCAAAACTTTATCATTATATGTACGCAACTTAAATTTACTTTACTTTGAACACCAGTGAGACACAGAATGCAAGATTTCTATCTGGGAAATGGTGCAATGATGAGCTAATTTTCCAAAATGGTGCAAGTATTGTCCACCTATAGTTCTTTGAGAATTATCTTTATTTTTTGGACAGTAGAAGGTATTTCCCCTTCTCAGACTCCATCTTAATCATGAATATCTAAAAACAAAAACAAAAAAACAAAACCAGCAACATTAATATGTTTTTCTGATCGGTGTACTAGAACAATATCCAAAACACCTTCAGATATTGTTGCATTTTTATGGTGCATCTAAATTGAAAGGCCATAGTGCCATACAACAACATTTCATACATTATTTATTTAAATATATGTTAGGGAAGGAAGGTAAGGTGAACAAGAACTTAAAAAGGAACTAAGCTCACAACAGCTCACATTAAAAATTTATTTCCATGTCTCATATTTGAAGATTCATTATACATTAAAATTTCAGACATGATTAGCACTCCATGTGACAGGTGAGTAAAGGACTAGGAGACATGCAATTAATTTTTTTTATTGACGTTTAAAATCAGCATACCAGAACCAGAAAGCTGGGATCCTATACCCTGTTCAAAGAAGAAAAGAAACTCTACATTACGTCTTGTTTCAGACAACCCAATTCTAAATGTATATTCATAGATGTAAAAAGCTTCTACCTGTGAATATATTCTCCTAGCTGATTCAAGTTGTGACAGTTCCGCATCATGGGTATTGACAAGCTCCATAACCTCTGGTGTACTAACAAACCTGACAAACCTAGAGAAGAACGACTTCTTAGATGTCTTTATCTCCAACTCTTTCCTTGAAATCCAGAAAAGGCAATTTTAGGACTTTTGTGCATTACCTTTCAAGTGTCCCTTTCGTAAACCATGATTTAGCATTTCCATCCCCCAGAACCTCAAGCTTAATAGAATTAACTGCTGATGCAACTTGTTCCTCTACAGCTTTCAAGTGAGTCACAAATGGCTTCACCAATCCTGACGCTAGTTTCTCCGTCTTTCCATCAGTAGTAACAAACAATTCGCATCTGCCCAAATAAAACAACAAATAAAAAGATGTAAAGTATATACAAAGTTACAAACTATTTGCTAATCAATTCATCTTAAGTACCAAAGAAATAAATGTAGTTTCTTTGCTTTGGTTGTAGGGATCTTACCGTGTACGCTTGGGTGACAGCAGAAATGATGCATAATCAATAAATGAGTCCATTTCCATTCTCTTCCCCCTAATGAAGGAAAGCTCAGGATTTCCCTATTTTACCTTTTTCATTCACCGAAGAAATTTCATTCCATCACTCATTTGCGAAAGTAATATGTAATATCCAACTGTGATCAGGTTCATTAGTGATGAATATAACATCCAAAACTAATACAAAAGCCCAGTATAATCCCATGTGTGCCGGGGTTAAGGGTCAAGATGCAGGTCATGCAGCGATGCACACAACCTTACCTGTATAAATAAACAGAGGTTGTTTCCGTTAATTAGACCCTTGATGCATTTTCTACTCGTCTGCTCAAAACTTCATTAGAAGTATAAAAAAAGACGAGTGAACTTTAAATTGCCAATTTGATTTAGTCCAATATCTACCGGAAGCTAAAACATTGTAAAAAATGACTCCTTAGCACCATTGGCACAAAGACACAACATCCAAAACTAATATGCGTGAAATTCAAACTGAAAACAAGAAAATTGTCAACAACACTATACCCATTACAGGTGAAATCCTAGGCCAACACAGAGACAGCAATTATAAAATTACAGATCTAAATACCAATTATGCACAGTTTCTACATGAAGTGCATGAATTGAGTAACTCATTCCCAACTAAATTCAAATGCAGGCATCATATAATCTTCCTTCAGACGCTGCAATAAACGTCCATCTCCACTCGAACAAACAAGGAAGCACAAATTAACCCAAACAAACCAGCAAAATCAAAATAAGAAAAGCTAGATTGCTGAATGGAAGAGCTCAAGCCAAAGTTCAGGCTCCTACACTCCAAGAGAATAATCAAGTGCATCATTTCCGCAAAAATACAATGCATCATCTGAAATTCAGAAATACGATCACGGAAATCAAAGCTTACCTTATGAAACAAAGACGACGAGATCTCCAAATTCGGGCCGGATGATCCGAATCCAAATCACATTCGAACCGACATTTTGATTTCTGAAGAAGACAAATACAGTAATATGTATCTACTGCCTTTTCCCCCCCTTCTTCTATTGAGAGATTTTGGTTTTATTTTTTCCAATTTTAAGAAAGCTCTAGACCCATAGCTCTCCTTTCAGTTGCTTGAGCTCCACTCTATTCTCTCTATATGTATGTATCAACATGTAGATATACGTACACACAGGAGAGAAGACCAGAAGGAGTAGCAGGCGAAGTGATGGGTGGAGTTTGGGGATTGTACATTTAAATTTTCGGGCCGGGTTTACAATTTTGTAATATCAGATGGGTGGAAACTGGAAACACAAAAGATTAAGATTTCTACGCTGGGGAAGATGCTTCAAATTTACGAATTTTCGCTACACACGTGGCAAACATGTATCCATTTTTGAAATTAATATACACTATTCAAAAACTATTTTAAAAAATTTTCATAATAACCCTAATTTTATCGGGTCTTTCGAAAATAATCTTACATTTCTTCTTCGCCCGGAGTTGAGTCTAACTTCACCTTTGAATGTCTTCATCCTTGATGGCCAACTTGAAGAAGCTTGACCGGCTGACCTTTCCTTTGGCTTTTTGGATAAAGTACCGTTTGACCGGTAGGTTGCTACTCCACGGTCTGATCGGTTAACTACTTTGCCTTGTAGAACTTTCGATGTTCCGTTGTATCAATACCCAACCGGGGTATTCTTTTTTTTTTTGTCCGGTAGGTTGTAGATGGAAGCACATGTAACCTAGTAACGTCTTAAAGTATCCTTAACCGGTAAGAATACTGGAGATTTAACCATGTCGAATGGTTTCGAACCCTCTCCAAGGTCCAAATGCACCTTTCTTCCAGGGCCCCCTCTTCCGGGTGATTAAGTCTTTTAATGGCTCTTTGATTTCTACTATCCCGGGAAGGCCTTAGCTCACCCCCCGTTCAAGTCTTCCTTGAGAAGGGGGAAATAGGATGCGCCACGGTGGACGATCCCTTTCTATTTCTTTTAATGGGCATCTTTTAGTCCCCAATCAATTTGACGGTACCGGCTGATTCCCCGATACCGGTCAAACCTCATGGGCCCGTGTAAGTACAGTTCGAACCTTCTTCCAGGTCCAGCAGCCCTCTTGCAGGCATACCCCTCTTCCGGGTTTTATTATTTTTTCTATTATACTGAGCAAGACCGGTGTAGTAACCAGCGTGCCAGGTCCGGGCCTGTATCTCAGTTGGCTTATCCAAGTGGATTCGATCCACCCGGGAAGCCCTCCTAGGATAGGTTCGACCTATCATTTCTGCTGCTACCATGTAGAGTATTGAACATTTTGATTGATAATGTAGTTAGGCCTCGCCTAGTATTACAATCATTTGTAGAACTTGCGAAGATGATGGGAATTCCAAGTTCTTTCTACCGGTACACCATCTAAAGTTTCTAACCGGTAGGTCCCTGGGCGAATGATAGCTTTTACCTGGTAAGGTCCTTCCCAGTTTTTTGCCAACTTTCCTCCATCACCCGGTCTACTAGCCTCTCTTCTTCGTAGGACTTCATCTCCAACTTGGAAGTATCGCGGTCTAACCTTGTTGTCATGGTACTTCTTCACGACTTGTTGATATGTGCTCATTTTAACTTCCGCGGCCATTCTCCGCTCCTCGACCAGGTTGAGTTCGGCCAAGTGATCTTCCTCGTTCTGCTGGGGTTGATAATTTGATTCCCGAAACGTTGGGAATTCAGCTTCGGTGGGCAGCCTTGCCTCACACCCATACGTTAGGGAGAATGGAGTTTCCCCATGAGCCCTCCTGGGTGTTACTCGAAACGCCCAAATGATGTGCGGAAGCTCTTCCAACCACTTGTTTCCTGCTTCTCCCAGCCGTTTCTTTAGACCATCCACAATTGTTCGGTTGGCGTTTTCGACTTGGCCATTTCCTTGGGGGTACGCCACCGAAGAGCGATTGTGCTTGGTTCCGAAGCCATCCAAGTATTCGGTGAATTTTGGATTTCGGAATTGTGGGCCGTTGTCGGTGATGAGGTTCATGAGCGCTCCAAACCTCGTGATGATGTTCTTCCAAATGAATTTTTTGCATTGTTGCGTGGTGATGCTGGCCAACGCTTAGGCCTTGATCCATTTGGTGAAGTAATCGATGGCTACAATTACGAACTTCTTCCCTCCTTGGGCGACTGGGAACGCTCTAATGATATCAACCCCAAACCTAGCGAATGGGATGACATTCGATACGGGGTGATAGTAGGTCGCCGGTCTACCGGGATACTTGTAGAACACTTGGCATGTTCTGCATTTCTGAACATACCTCTCACAATCCTAGACAATTGTTGGCCAGTAATACCCCAATAGGATGATGCGTTGGGAAAGCGTACGGGACATTTGATGCGCCGCGCATACGCCTTCGTGGACCTCCGCTATGACTCGCTCAGCCCCCCGGTTGGTTAGACATCTCAGAAGTGGCCCCCCAAATGCCCTTTTATATAGCTTTCCATCAAGAACCTGGAATCGGGGTGCCCTGAGCTTCACTTTTCTTGCCCGGTCATCTTGTTCTGGCAAGCTTCCATCCATCAAATATTCCATCAGATCATACATCCAATGGTCGTCCGCCCCGACCTGGTTTGACCGGTCAAATTGGCTTCCGGTTGTTATAGCGGCGACTTCCAATTTTTCGATGTTGGCTCGATCCAGGATTTCCACCCGGGCAAGTTTTGAAACATGCTCGGGAGCATACTGCGTCAACTTGGAGAGAAGGTCTGCATCTGCGTTCTCCGCCTGGGGAATTTGGGCGATCTTGAATTCCTCGAAGCCTTTCAACAGGGCAAGCACGAGCTCCTTGTATCGTGTCATGCGTCCTTTTCTTGCTTCCATGTTACCGGTAACTTGCCCAATAATCAGGCTAGAGTCAGATTTGATACTGACCCAGCTGATTTTCAGGGCTTGGGCAAGTCTGAGCCCTCCAGCCAGAGCTTCATATTCTGCCTCATTGTTCGTCAGCTTGAAGTTGAACACGATTGCATGGTAGATCTTGAACCCTTCTGGGTGGTGAACACGATACCACCCCCGTATCCTCTAGGACCGGATGCCCCATCAGCTGCCATCTCCCACCCTTGCTCAGTGGGTTTGTTGACCGGTAGGTCTGGAGTTAGACCGGTCATTTCTACCAGGAAGTCTGTAAGGGCTTGTCCCTTGATTGCTGACCTTGGCCGGTACTCAATGTTGAATTGAGTTAACATCATTGCCCACTTCACTATCCTCCCGGAGGATGTTGAATTTCGCAACACTGCACCCAGCGGTTGGTCAGTCAAGACTTCCACCGGGTGAGCTTGGAAGTAGGATGTTATTTTTTTTGCGGAGATGAAAAGCGCATAGGCAGTCTTCTCCATCACCGTATATCTACTTTCGGCTCCGTTTAGTGCTTTGCTCACATAATAAATGGGCTTTTGTGCCCCATCATCTCTTATTAGAACGGAGCTTATAGCATTTGGGGAAATTCCCAGGTACAGATACAGAGTTTCACCCGGTTCGGGTTTAGACAATACAATAACCGACACTAGGTACTCCTTCAACTCTTCAAATGCCCTCTGGCAATCTTCGTCCCATGCAAATGTGTTGGCCTTCTTCAGGACATTGAAGAAAGGCAGGGATCTCTCAGCTGACCGGGACAGGAAACGGTTGGGTGCCGCTAGACGACCGGTCAACTTTTGCACATCCCTAACTGAGGTAGGGGCTTGCATCTCGCTGATAGCCCAGATTTTTTCTGGGTTGGGCTCTATTCCTCTCTTGGTCACCATGAATCCCAGGAACTTCCCGGTGCGAACCGCGAAGACGCATTTCTTGGGATTCAACTGGAGGTTGTACCTTGCCATGATATCGAATGTGGCTCGCATATCAGCCGGGTGGTTGAGAGATACCTGGCTTTTGATCAGCATGTCGTCGACGTATGCTTCCATGGTCTTTCCGAGTAGTGGCTTGAAGAGTTTGTTCACCATGCGCTGGTAGGCCTCTTGGTACGTGGCTGGGGGTTTCCGGCAGAACTCCTTGTATAGTTCCCTGGCACGCAAGCCATTCAAGAGAAGAGATAAGACGGTCTAGTTATCCATCTCCTCCACCTTGTCTCCCTCTTCCTTCCACCGGGTAAGGAACTGAGTAAGGTTCTCAGACTCCCTCTGCGCGGCTGTATTAAGATAGGTGAATTTCTTCCTCTTAGTATAGTTCTCCTGGAACTTGGCCTTGAATTTTGAGGCCAAGTCACTGAACGAATCAATACTTCTTGGGCGAAGTTTGTTGAACCATTCAGTAGCTCGATTCCGCAGGGTTTGGAAGAAAAGAAGACACTTTTCTTCGTCTGTGCAACCGTTCATGGTTGCACTCTGGTTGAAGGAGTCCAGATGGATTTCCGGATCTTCCTTCCCGGTGAATCTATAGGGGCGTCGATCTTGACCTTTCGCGGGAAAGGCGTCAGATGGACCCTTGTGGTGAACGGGGACCCCGCCAGGGGTTTGTCCCGGTCATTCTTTTCCTTGACCTTCTTCTCTAGCCTTTCCAGTTTTGCCTCCATCTACTGGACGCGGTCATTTGGGATGGTTAACCGGTTCGCCACTGGTAACCTGGGCTGGCTCTCTGCTTCCTCTTCCTGGGAAGAGGCCCTCGTCCTCGCTGGCTCCTGCCGGTTAGACCGGGAGCGCCGGGTGCGGGCAGGCTCGGCCTCCCTCACCTCGCCTAACCGGGCGAACGCGCTGACATGGGTAACGCCCCAGCCTCTGTTTGGCTGACTTTCTCTGGCCTTCCTCCCTATCCCCCAGCCTTTCGAAGGCGGAGTTTCGGGAAGTTGTTGGCAGGATGTTCTTTCCCTTCTTCTTCTTGTGGGCCCTCGGAATGTCCCACTCGCCGTCATCACTCTCAACAGAGACGCAATGACCATCAGGGGTGACTTGCGGATTCGTACCTTGCGGGGGACGCGACGGCTCTGCAGCGTTAAGCGCGCTAGTCAAGTTGACAGGGGCTATGGTGCTGACCAGCTGCGGCTGGAAAGGTGATGGCTGCGGCATCGGCGTCTAGAACGGCGTTACTGCCATTGGAGCTTGTAGGGGCATGGTTCCCGAGCCTGGAAGAGCAAACGGGAACATACCAGGGAGAAAAGGCATCCCCCCATTCTGTTGGCACATGGCCATGACCTGGCCAAAGCCCTGGATGGCCTGTAGGTTGGCTGGGTCATTCATGAAAAGAGTCATGCTTGGTGGGAACGTGACCCTTGGTCCAACGGAAGGGACGGGGGTCGTGAAGGGGCTGACCACGCTAGGCGTTGGGACAGAGCTCAGACCCAAAGGTAACATTGGGGCGGAAATGACTGGTAAGGTAGCAGCCACAGGGATGCTGGTACCCTCGTTGGTGGCTTGCACCTGAGTGGAAGTAGCGTTGATTTGTTGACTGGAAGACATTTTGAGTGGTGTTTTTGTGGGTAGGTTTGTGTTTAGAAGAGAAGAAACCTTAACGGTCCCACGGGTGGCGCCAAAAATGATGGTGTAAATTACTTGACCGGTCAAACTATACTAGACCGGGTCTAGAATAGTTTGCTTGATTTGGAAAAGTAAGAGAGGTAAAAACACGCAGATTGACCGGTAGGACTTTAGGTGGAACACCTATAGCCCAATTTATATTATAACGGAGAATGCACGGGTGCTTTTACAAGGGAGTTTAGAGAGAGTGAATTCTGATCCCTCTTTCTGAGGTTTACATGAGTATTTATACTAGGCTAAGGGGGACAAGACCACGTGCGCCCACGTGGGGGCACGCTGTTGATGTGGTGCGAGGTGACTGATTTCGTCCTTGAGCCTTGTCGCCTTGCGAGGGGAATTATTCCCTTTGTCAAGTAGTGCCTTGGATGGATTCCTCAAGTATCTCCAGCTATCCTCCACTGACATGGGTCGCTACACGCCAAACCCTTTTAGATTCTCTTCTGCCGACACTTTCCAACCCTATAAACTACACCGGGTAATCTCCGAGGGATGAATTCATCGGAGTTAGGGAATAAATAGGGTGACAAAGTAGTTTGACCGGTATACTTTTTCGTGAAGTATACCGGTCATCTTTGGGCCGATCACATATCAATTTGCTGATGATTCAAGTCTCCCTTCCAAAACTCTCGAGATCGACCAGTCAACTAATTGGTCTTCTCCTTTGACCGGTCGTGGGTGGAATACACTCATCAATAGTCATGTACATTACCAAAAAGTATAGTAATGTGCACATGTACAGTGCCACATTACAACACATTACCATAGTGCAAAGTCGTATTTTGGGAATAAAAACATGGAACTCCTATTTTAGTATTTTTTCTATGTTTTAGTCTTATTTAGGATGATTTCTACACTTTTAAATGACGTGGCACGAGAAATAATACATGACATGTTTTAAATACTTATTGACCATTTTTTAGCAAATAATTTATGATAACTTGACATGTTTTTTACTAATTGATTCTTTTTTATCCATGTGTTTTTTCTTCGAAGTCATATTTATTTTTTATGTGTTGTATAATTTTTAATTAATTTAATCAATTTATAATTAATTATTGATATTGGAATAATCTATTGGCTTTACGAATCTAAACAATCTTGATACAGAGTAATAAAAATGTATCAAAGATTATTCGACTCAGTTTAGAATTAAAACAATCCATTAATTTTACATAATCTATAGATTATTAAAAGGTACAAAAGTCTTTTAAAATACGAATTGAATGCACCGAAAACTTAATTAGAAAAAATCATTTTGAAAACCTACTAAATTAAAAAAGACCACGTACTTAATTACTCCGTATTACTTATGGAGTATTTTGTGTAAAACATATAACGTACTGATTTGGATAAGTATTTCATTTAAAAAGAATCATTTTGAAAATTTACTCATTTTCTTTCTATGTAACTTACTAACTTACTTTTAGTTTACTCCCTCGGGTCTAAAAAAGGATTCCTAGTTTGACTAAGTGTAAAAATAAAGATGTGTTAAATTATAATTGACTTCTAATTTTACCCTTGATATGATGGATATATTCTTTAGAAATCATCCTAAATATGACTAAAACATAGAGAAAAGTACCAAAATAGGACTTTCATATTTTTTTCCCGGAATAGGACTTTGCACTGTGGTAATGTGACTTTGCATTGTGGTAATGTGACAGTGTACATGTGCAAATTATTATAATTTTTTGGTAATGTATATGACCATGTTTGGTAATGTAAGTCATATTTCGGGTATAAAAACATGGAAGCCCTATTTTGGTATATTTTCAATGTTTTAGTCCTACTTTGGTCTTTCACCATATATTTTTAGAGAAAAGTATGATGTGATAGGTGATGGCGTAAATTACCACGCAAATACTAAGTATGAGTAATCGGAAGGGTTGTAGGTGGAAACACCTATAACCCGGCTTGTTATTAATGATAGCTGGGACTATTACAATCAGTACGGGCCGTGTGGATTAATTAAAGCATGCCTCACAAATGAGTACGCCGCCGCCTAGTCATCACGTCGTTTCCTCTTCCCGGATCGGGCAGGAGTGGGCCACCCGGCTGGTCAGATGCTCTAACAGATGAGAAGCTCCAGATGAAGGCCAGACAGACGGGTCAACTGGAGGTGGAGAATGCCCAGATAAAGGCTGAGCTGGAGAGGGAGCGCTCCGACCAGGCTGTTCACGCCACTACTTGGGTTGCACAGAAACCGGAGAAGTTTGCTGCCTGGGCACTCTCTGACTGGGAGGTCGGCATCCGGTTCTTCCAAGTGTCTCAGCAATTGATTGATGACATTGGGATCTTGGGGTTTGGGACCAGTCCGTACCAAAAGCACCGTGGGCTGTACGGGATCTTAAGCAACCGGCTGTAGGATTTTGACTCGATCGTTCGAACTCACAATCTCTTTGGTCATGATCGAGTTGTATCTACCCGGTCTAACGCATCTCACCATTCTTTCTACCCGAGTAGGAAATAAGCCACCCGGGTGGGTTTTGACAGAGCATGCCCGGGCTATGCTTCAAAGTTGATCATGTGAGTCATTTCTTCCTTCACCCGGGTGAATAAGAGCTCTAGTCCTCCGAGTGAGCAAGGCAATCAATTCTTTCCATTCAAGGCCTCAGCCATGCAAACGGGGGAACATTTTCTTAAAAAAGTCCTCCGAGCCAAGTTAAGTGAATCCATCGTGACCCCGTCACTCACCCGAGGCTGAATCTTGATCGGGTGGGCAGTTTTGTTTTTTATTTATCTTGGGTAGGTTGGTTCACCCTGATTTTGCCCAAGTGAAAAGTCTTCAGGGAAAGATATCGAAGATCGGGGTAGGCCTGATGTTCCCAGTCCGACCGGGCTCTTTTTTTCCTGAAACCGATGTTCAACCGGTGTACCCAATTCGATTGGGCTCAGGCTTGTTAGAAAATATGTGCAATACTGGTGTGAGACGAGTGTACTAGTTCGACTAGGTCACATATTTTCTTTATTTTTTCTTTATACTGCACAAGACCGGTGTGAGACCATTGTACCAGTTCGACTGGGTCGCAGTTTTTTTTAATATGTGCAAGACTGGTGTGAGACCAGCATACCAGGCCGGGCCTGTGCCACATTTTTTTTTGAGTTCAATTCGATTGAACATTGACCGGGCGGACGGGTTTGCAACCTTCCCCGACCGGTCTTACCATCTTTTCTGAAAAAAGTATGGTGTTCCGCCCGGGCAGTTTGTAATGCTCAATTCGATTGAACACTGACCGGGCAGATGAGTCTGCAACCTTCCCCGACCGGGTGGTTTTGTAAATAATCTTTTCAGAAAAAGTTCAACTGTTATTTTTTGACCGTGTCAATACGGTTCATCCATTTGACCAATTGTTTTTTTTAAATGCTCAATTCGATTGAACATTCACCGGGAGGATAGGTTTGTAACTCTTTCCTTACTGGTTTTGTGAGAAGTCTTTTGAGAAAAAAGATCAACTTTATTGAACCTTGGCATGGTACATATCCGGTCTTAGCGGATGATAAAATGGTTGTTCAACACCACTTTCTTCTTTTCTTCCTGACGAACTCTCTTCAAGAGCCTCTCCAAACGTTCTTCCTCCATGTCCACCCGGTTGCTGGGTGGTTCAACATGTCTGCGCATTGCAACTTTGGGCTGGTTTTCCGCCTGGCCCTTCGCTCTAGGCACCCTGCTGTGTTGGGGCTCATCACAGAGATGAGGGTCAAAGCGCCCGGTCTGACCGGGTCGCCTACCACCTTCTCGCCTATAGAATTTGCCTGGCTTGGGAACCTTCACCCCCAACCGCTCCTTGGCCGGTCGATTCTGTTTCCGCCCCTCATGTCCCAGCCTCTGGAACACTGACCGTCGTGAATCTTCCGGCTGGACGGCTTTGCCCTGCAGCTTTTTCTGGCCTTTGGGAATATCCGAGTCTTCTTCCCTGCTGCGCACAGAGCGCACGTTCCCGTCGGGTATGACCTGAGTGTGGAGCTTGTGGGATCTGCTCCTCCTAGGCCGAGAAGGGCCTGCCCTTTCCAGCTCCCCGGCTAGATTTGTCAAGGTGACCGACCGTGAGGTACTTACCGGTTGAAACGACGGGGGATGCTCCAACGTGTTGGGAAGATTTGTATTTTGGCCCAAAGCATGGGGATACATCCCAGGGATGAAAAGAGTAAATCCCCCGGGTTGTTGGAAAATGGGCATAATTTGTCCAAAGTTATGAAGGGCCTGACCTGGGGCTGTTTGAGTAGTGAAGGTGGTGATCATGGGGGAGAAGAGAGAAGGTAATGATATGATTCCTCCCGGGATAAGGGTAACGCCCTCCGCTGGGGTGGAAGTTTGGGAAATGATGGATTCCATATTGTTGTTCGTCATGGCTTCTTTTTGTAAAGAGGTCCCACGGGTGGCGCCAATTTGATGGCGTAAATTACCACGCAAATACTAAGTATGAGTAATCGGAAGGGTTGTAGGTGGAAACACCTGTAACCCGGCTTGTTATTAATGATAGCTGGGACTATTACAATCCGTACGGGCCGTGTGGATTAATTAAAGCATGCCTCACAAATGAGGCTTTTAGGGGTATTTATAATAAAAACAAGCACGTCAAGCACGTCCCGATGTTCCTGTTCTTCCAGTCGGTCAGTCTTCAAGCCATCCAGTCTTCAGGTCATCCACCCGGGCAGTCTTCAGGTCATCCACCCGGGCAGTCTTCATGTCATCCACCCGGGCAGCCTTCAGGTCATCCACCCGGGCTGCTTTCAGGTCATCCACCCGGGCAGATTAACGGGGGCGGTGAGGTCAAGCCTGGTCAGACCTTATGCCTTATGCGAATGTAGTCACGATCTCACATGTCTGACCCCCGACATCCACCCGGTCAGTCTACCGGGGTTGGTGAGGTCATGTGGGGTCAGAATTCTGTACCCCCGGGCGCCTGTGAACTTGCCGGGTGGTACTAGTGGATTATATCCATCAATAGGTAGTGTATGAAAAAGTAAGGGTAAAAGTTGTTTTTTAATAGAAAATGGAAGTGAAAAAATGAAAGAGGAAGTGTTTTTGAGAACGAGAGGGATGACAGATTAGTAGTTTAGTCAAAATTTAATTAAATTAAACTCACTAGTATCACACTCGTGCGTTGCACGGCTCGCAATTATGCTATGAATTTATATTGGTATCATTATAAAAGGACATCTTTGAAAGTATTGATATTTCAATCTCTTATCAGCGCATGAATCCGATTTTCTTGTAAATCAAGAAATAATTGTTTATGTAATAACAATTATTTGTTTAATAAATATAATTAATCTGGGTTCTGGATCGAATAAAAGTTATAACAAACCTTTTGATCATGAAAGATAACATCAAGAGATTTTGGCGTTCGATCATGCGCAACGGTTCGATAAACCAAGTAATCAATTCGTCCCTTCCTTTTCAGTCATATTACAATGCATTCACTTTTTAACATTGAAATAGTCAAAAGTTTCCTTTAATACGGAGTATATCTTTCTAAATTGGTAATATTACAGAACCAACCATTTCCGCAGATCTTCTTCGTACATTGATATCGACGGTGCAGGATTACGGTGCATTGAGCTGGAAAAAAATTCCCCTACTTTTAGGAATAGTATTGATATTGATCACAAAAATGAAAAAAAATAACAAACAATATAATTCTTTCGGATTTCTCTTTTCAAATCTTACCATTTTTAATTTATTTCCTCCTTTAGGAGTAGATTAATGTAATATTTTATATCAACCATAGATCATGATGATGTACTCAAAAATCAACGGCTCACAATCGACAATGGTCGAATCATTCAATCCGCCCTTTCCTTTTTGGCCATATATCAATCCTGAAATCAATTTAATATTACAACAACGTAATCAATTTAATTGGTCAACATATTAATTACGTTCCTTCCTTTTCGGTCATATTACAATGCATTCAATCTGTAACATTGAATTAGTCAAAATATATCTTTCTAAATTGGTAATATTACCAACCAACCATTTCCGCAGATCTTCTTCGTACATTGATATCGGCGGTGCAAGATTACGGTGCATTGGGCGGGAAAATAATTCCCCTACTTTTAAGAATAGTATTGATATTGATATTGATATTGATATTGGTATTGATATTGATGGGTGGCTTGGAGGGTGTGCAAAGTTGTCAACCGCACAGGGCCCCTAAAATTTTAGGGCAACATATTTTTAAATTTGTTAATAATTTTAAAAGAAAAGTATTCTAAAGAAAAAAATAGGGCTCAAAATGTAAATTTAGGACCGGGCCAATTTTATTTTTTCATTTTTCGGGGCCGGCTATGACTAATCTCAATTCAGTTCCTCAAAAATGTTCAACTCAGTTAATTGCACTTTTTTTAAGTACAACTATATTTTAGCTTAACAGATTTTCCAAAAAAGAAAAAAAATATAGTCACATTTGATATATTTCAAAACAAAAATCCTAAATATTAAAAAGAATTAGATTTATTTGACAGTTGATCTATACTAAAATTGTAAAACGAATTTATGTTTAAAAAAATTAAAAAAGAAATTATAGTTGATTATATTTTATGAGGTGGCACGAAGGAGGTGCAAAGTGGCCAACCGCACATGGCTCCTAAAATTTTAGGTCCCCATATTTTTAAATTCAGTATTAATTTTAAAGAATAAGTACTTTCAAAAAATAAAATAAGGTCCAAAAAGTAATTTCTGACCGGGCCAATTTTATTTTTTCATTTTTCGGCGCCGATCTTATTTTTTCACATAAAAATTTAAAAAATAATCACGTAAAAATAATTACATGTATTTTAAACCCAAAATTTATTGCACTTGAACTTATTGCCCATGAACTTATTTTTAAGAAGCAAAAAGAAATATAGTCCCATAGGTTTTCACAAAGGAAAGTTCCAAAAAAAATCACATGTAATTTATTCTTGATTTTTAATGAAATTACAACAACTATTTTTTTTAAAAAAAAGCACAAAAATGTAATTATACCGAAATACCCTCCCCTGGACATTTTGATGATGATAAATAAGAAAAGAAAAGTTTGGGAATTTTACTCTAGCTTTAGATGATGAAAAACATCATATAGTCCCTTGTGAACATTCTTTTGACAAAAGTTTTTTTAGGTAGGATTATCCTCTCTATATAATGGTAAAAGACAAAGCCGGAAAAAGCTAGGCCAAGTATGAATTTCGGCCTGAAGAAAAGGAAGACCAGTTTTTTTTAGCCCAAAATCATGTTGATTTGTCTCAAATTAAACCAGAACAAAAAGAAAAAGTGGAGTCATGGCTCGCTCTCACAGATAAGCTACTTAGCTTGTTGAACACGGATACTATCGGTAGTAAGAGTATTAAGGCCCCGTTCCATTCACCTTATTTTTTTTTCTTTTTTTATTCTTATTAAAATCAGATGAGATCAAATTGAATTAGATCATATCATTTCATATCAGATCCAATCAAGTCAGTTCGGATCAGATTCCATCAAGAATTACTATTATTATTTATTATTATTATTAGACATGAAAAAAAATAAACTTTAGAAATAAGTTAAATAGAAAATAGAGAAAGTAATCCTTAATTATTAGACATCGGAAAAATTATTTTTAAAATACATTGACAATGTCAATCTAATTCTACTTTTAAAATACATTTTTATTGCTACCTGTAATTTGAGTTTCTAAAGTTTTGATCTTTTATAATGATGAGATATTTTAATAAAAATATTATCACTTCTATATATTGATTATCTAAATTTCATTAATTTTTAATGTATATATAAATTAAATATTTATTCTAATGTATATATGAAGTAATTATTAAAATATTAAATTAATATTCTAGTTTCACAAAAAAATATTCATAAAATAAAAAAATATTATTAAATTATAATATGAATGATTATTCTGTTATATTAATTAACTAATTTTATTTTATTAAAAATAATCATAAAATAAAAAATATTGATTTTATTATAATATGAATTATCATTTCAATTTTCAAACGTTATTATAATGTCAAATCAAATTTTTTATTTGAATTTTAAATCAAATCATAATTAATCAGATCGGACCAGATCAGATCAGATCTAATCAAATCAGACCAAATCAGATCAGATCAAAACTATAAAAAATCAAATCAGATCAGAAAAAAAATTGAACGGAACGGAGCCTAAGAGGAGCTTTAAAATTGTTAGGTGGCAATATAATTAAGTAGGAGGATTGACTTTCCACAAAATCAGATTCTCTCCGGGAAAATATTTCAAAATTATAAAATTTTTCAATCCTAAAGAACATGCTTTAAGTATGTGGGATCAAAGACACTAATTGTCTGTGTTTTCAGGTGTACAAATGAGATACCTCATTTTGGTGTACTCTAGACTTATTGTTAATTTATTTGTGAGGTAATATAACAACTTTAATACATATTTCACTTATTTCTTCCTTTTTATTTTATATTTTTAATCAAATTTATGATGAATATATTTTACGTAAAATTATATAAGCCCGTGCGAAGGACGAGGTAAGAAGTAGTGTGTGTGTGGGTCTGTCTATACACACACACACACTCTCTACTATGTACTCTATAATTTAATTAGCAAAATTATTATTTAAATATTCCAGCAAGGTCAATGTCATAGGAAGTGGCCTAACTTTTTTAGGTAGTGTTTGGCAACTAGCCTTTCATTTCAATTCATGCATTTGAATTCCAAAATTTGACATTTTGAATTTCAAATGACAATAGGAGGTGCATGAATTTCAAATTAAACTTTATTATGAATGAGAAAAATTTGACTCAAATTCAAAATTCAAAATTTTTGAATTTCTTAAATATGAAATTTGATCCAAATCCAAATTTGAAATTTAAATCTATGTTCCCAAACATACCAGTATTGATTTCTTTCTGAACAATTGAGAAAATCGTTTTTCTTTCTTAGTTTTTTTTTCTTTTCAAATTCTTTGAACCGTGCAAGAGAAAGTATTAGTCTATCAGCAATCAAGTTTATACCATACTCCGTATATACTGCTTCTATATTAATGTACTCCGTAGTAAACAGTTTGTAAAGTATACGTTATACACAAAAAAAGAAAGTATAGCAAATGGGGATGTAGCTCAAATGGTAGAGCGCTCGCTTTGCATGCGAGAGGCACGGGGTTCGATCCCCCGCATCTCCATTTATTATTTTAATAGATTCGTTTTGCAGTACTGATTTTACACCTCCATTTTCCATTTCAATATACTCTCTCCGTCCCAAAAGTCTTTCCTGTTTACTATTACGGCTTTCTGATAACTCTTATTTGTTTGCGTGTTTTCATTGATCATTTGATAAAATAAAATATTTTTGTCACCTCTTATTTTGTAGAGCTTTCGATGTAGTTTTTAAATATAATTTTTTTATGTGTTATTTCCTTACCAATTTGTAAATAAAATCATTTTAAAATCTATGAGATTTTACACGTTAATCAAAGTAAGAAATTCTTTTTGGGACGGAGGGAGTATTTTTTTCCCTGTTTTCTAACAAGAGCATCTGCTAACGCAGGCCCCGTTTTCAATTTATTAGAACGACTTAATAGTTATTTTAGCCTCTCTCAAATTTATTCATGACTCAATTTCATCCCAATAAGTTTATTTGAGTCAAATTAATCCTTTTATATAAAATATGTGAATCAAATTAGTCCTTCAAATATAATTTACCTCTTAAAATTTTGAGTTATTGCGTTAATTGACACACAAGCAATGACCGCATGTTCACTTATAATTTTAAAATATAAATTTTGTATAAAGATTAATTTGATTCACATGAACTAATTTGACTAAACCAAACTTACAAGGATCAAATTGACTCATGAGTACATTTACATGTACTAAGGGGGTGTTTGTTTTTTGGCCAGAAGAGCTTCTGGCTTCTTTTGTCTGCGCCGCGCAGATGCTAAGCTCTGCAGATTGTTTGTTTTTTAGAAGACATTTCACTCAAAAAGGTCTTCCTGACATCTTCTTGGAGAAGACATTAACTTATGTTATTGGAACTGAGAAGTCCGGATCCGGAGAAGTCCGGATCCGGAGAAGTCCGACTTCCGAGGAATCCGGATTCCGAGAGATCCGAATTCCGAGAGGTCCGAATTCCGAGAAATCCAAACTTGAGAAGTCCAAATCCTTTGATGACCGAATCCCATTCTAATTAGGATTGATCTTGATTTATTTGTTTCCTAGTTTGATTATGATTTGTTTCCTTGTAGGATTTGTATTCCTTGTCTATTTTGGAATCATCCTCTCCTATAAATAAAGGAGAAACCCCTTGTAACTAAACAGAACAATTGAATATACAGAATATTTTCCCTCTTATTATTTTGTACATGGTATCAGAGCAAGATTCCTAGGAAAACCATAATCTAGACAAACGACGGTCCATCACCGCCGGAATTTCCTTCTCGAACGTCGACATGGCAGAAGTAGAAGAAAATCTCGTCGGCAAGCTCTTCGAAGAGGAAGAGAAGATCCCTACGAAGGGAAGTTCTTACGAACTCAAGAACGCAGACACACCTGGATTAATTATCACCCAAGTCAAACTAAACGGTGATAATTATGAAGAATGGGCTC